GACTGAGTGAGACTCCAACTTAAAAAAAAAAAAAAAATTACAGGATGATTAGGAGGCATTCCAAAATTTAGATGACATTTATCAGTTTTAGGTGTGCCACCTTTCAGTGATCACAACAGTCCAATATTTTCAATTTCTGGGCTTTTATTTTAGATTTAAATTTTAAGCAGATTTATTTTGCTATAGTCACATGATTTTAATAGCATGTTTTCCCAAACCATAAGTATAATTTTAATACATCCAAGTGAATTAAAAATGTCTTCCCCATAGAAACATAAATATAATTTTAGAATGAAAGTAAATAAAAATTTTGGAATATATATGCAAAAAATCTACCTTACATATGAATTCATAAATGATAACTATTGTATATACAAGTTTAACTGAACATTCTAAATTCATCAATATTTTTATAATGATATCCATTAGTTTAATCAAATTCTCCTCTTAAATTGTAGTTTTTCGTAAACTGTTTGTAAAGTATGTCTATGTGAATTTCATGTTTTAAAAAAAATCTAGCCCTATGAGTACTAGTTGTGTTCTGAATAAATTGGGTTAATTTTTTCAGTATTATGTCCAATATTAACACTTTTTTGTGCCTTGGCTTTTTTGCAATTCTTGTCACAATTGCTGAATATGTACAGCTGCCTCCCACCATCACTTTTACCCAATTTAATTTTTTTAAGTCTGTTTTCTCCCTACTCCAAACCCCATCACAACTGGAAAATAGCTTACTCATTTCTTATTTTTAAATTTCAGTTTTTCTCTTGTAAGATTTCAAGTACTAAATAGTCAAATGGCTGCCTCCTTTTAATTTCTCATTTTAGGCTCTGAAAAGGCTGTATGATAGACAAAGTGGCTCACTTTAGAAACTCTTATATCCGGGCAAATGTTTTAACATCCGGCAATGTATTTCTTGCTGTGTCATATAAACTGATTCATTCTTTTGAATAACAGAGACATAGTTACATATTGTTCTTACCTAATAAATAATAATCACTTACAAATGTTAAGATTATACTAACACCAAAATAAACTTAATTTTAAAAAGATATGACCTGGTTTAAACCACAGATTTAACTATTACTACTGTTATTATCACACTTTATTTTTTTCTCTCATTACACAGCATTTACCTGGAGGCAGAAGGATTTGAATAATCTGAAGGATTGATGTGATTACCAGATGCTTTAGTGGAATAGATGAACTTTAATATAACAAGCATTCAAAACTATTTATGCAGAATAGGAAGAGAATATCTCAGTGGTAAATAAAAAAATGTTCTTCAGTACTTTCTAATCCTGGCTCCTTCAACAGCATTTTTTGTTCTTGGGTAAATCAGTATTTTTGCTATAGTGTCTTTGTGTGTGACAGTCTGAATAACATTCCTTCTACCTGGCCCCCACCTTCAATATTCATCCCTTAATACTCAGATTCTGTGAATAATTTATCTGGCAAAAGGTACTAGGCACATGTGATTAAATTAAGGAAATTTAGATGCAGGAGATTGTCTAGGGTTATCTAAGTATTCCCTAAATGTAATCACAAGTGTCCTTGTAAGGGCCAGGCACAAGGAGATTTAACTATAATAGAGAAGAAAAGTATGTGACCATGGCAATAGAGCTTGAAGTGATGTTGCCAGGAGCCAAGAATGCTGGCAGTTGCTAGAGGTAAACGAAGCAAGATTCTCCCCTGGAGCTTCCAGAAAGAACCAGATCTAAGGACATCTTAGTTTTAACCTCTTAACACTCCTTTAGGACTACTGACCTACAGAACTACAAGAAAATATTTTAGTGTTGTTTTAAGTTCCTGAAGTTCTGGTAATTTGTTATAGCATCTACAGCAAACTTGACCTCCAAGATCCTTCTATGATTTCAGAAAAATGTTCTGCACTGTCAGCTTTATGGATTTTGTTATTTTAAAGCATTTTTATAGGCATAACCTAAGAAAATCATTTTTATTATTTATTTGGGGTATAAAGTTCTTTGTTGTAATTAATCTATTTGAGTATTAGCATATCATTACCAAAAGGCAGCAAGCAGTAGTGGCAATATTTCTTTGAGTTTCTTTTACCAAGTTCAAAAAAGACATTAATTATTATCATTAAGGAATATGTTTGAGTAGCCAATTCAATCAAATTCAAAACACAAGAATCTTGCAGAAATCAGCTGCCAGATTTATTAATCTACCTGAAAACAAAAACATAAAAACGCAACCAAACAAAAACTGGAATTAAAACAGAACTTAAAAAAAAAAACAAAAACTTTTGATACATTTTTCAAATGAGTTTTTAATGCAATATTTTAAACCTCTCTGTATTGGAAATATACTTAATGTTGGCCAATTACGTATTTAGTTCAGTGAGTCACTACCTTAAACAGCAAAATATATAGTTTGTTCTTAAATATTAAGTAATTAATAGCCGGGCGTGGTAGTGAGCTCCTGTAGTTCCAGCTACTTGGAAGGCTGAGGGGGAAGGATCGCTGGAGCCCAGGAGGTCGAGACTGCGGTGGCTGGGAGCGTGCCACTGCACTCCAGTCTGGGCGGCAAAGTGAGACTCCAACTCAAAAAAAAAAAAAAAATTAATTAATACCATTTTTGTCTTTTATATTTTAAAATAACTAATGGCCCAATTCTTCCTCACTGACTGACTGAAACAGGAATATTTGAAAAAAGAAAAAAAAGGAACAAAAATGAATCCTCAATACAAATTTCATTTAGAACATATTTTAAAGACCCACTTAAAATTTCTCCTTTAATGTTACCTAATATCCCAATCATATATCTCATCTCAATTCTCTTACCAATCAAACTTTCACTAAATATTTTAACATCTGCTTTTATCCTAAGTGCTGTAAATGGCCACATGCATATAGTGGGGGAAAAGTTTTGATTTTTAAGGCATACTTTATTTTATGCCCAAAAAGATATATGATGTGTATGCAGAACAATCATTGAAATCACAGGTTATGTAATATTTTAAAATTAGAATATGATTTTTTTTGTAGGATTAAATGTGAATAGTATCAATTTTAGTACATGAACTTCTCAGTAACTGATCAGTTTATATAAATGAGCTGTGATCTGTAGAGTCTTGGAAAATAGGTAACTAGGAGAGCATCTTTAAGCAATCTTTCCTGTGCTTACCACAAAATGCCTTTATAGGCTTATTTTGGTTTTACATTTAGAATTTATTGTTTTACAATTTTCCTGAAGACCTTAAAAAAATTGTTCCTCTAGGGATATTGATAGACTGAATAAAATTCATGTTCTTTGCTTGAGTGTTTAAGCAAGCTGGGATATTAGAACACCATTTACTCATTTTTTTCCCCCAGATGAATGGAACAACATATCCTGCTTTCAATATTTTCTTCAAATGCAAAACAAAGACAAAACAAAATACTTTGAAAGTTTAAATCTTTAAATCTTTCAAACAACCCAATCACATTTACAGGAGTTTCCAAAATGAGATGATGGATAATGTCAGTGCCAGCACTATGTCATACAGCAACTTCCACATATTCTTTACTAGTTTGTAAATAATTTTTCCATTTCCCCCAAAGTTACAAAAGTTTCCACATTTTTCCTTAGCAAGCTGAAGCTTACTCTTCATTTGTCAATGTGCATAAAAGCTGTGTATAGCATAGCATGGCGTAAGCTAATTTTTAAGCAATAAATGGTTCGAGTCATCTATTTTGTCCTGAAATGCTATCTGTAGTTAACTGCATTGCTTATAAATGGTCATAGTAAATTCAGCATGAAAGAGAATATTACAGAAAAGACAGCAGCAGAAGCATTAGCATTATCTAATATTTATATGTTATCAACATAACACAGCAGTAAAAGGTTTAAATGCATATCAATGGGTACCATGTCTAAAAATTACTATAGTACCTATTTAGTGTATTGGATATTTTTCTTAAAGAGTGCTCGCTGTAACTAGAACAGCATAATACGTGATTTAGTACAGTTAATTCTTATTGATTAAATAATGTATTTATGTACTGAAGGAAGTGAAAGGAGACAGATATTTTTTGCTTCATCGTGATTCCAGATTTAACATTTAAGTGAAGATTCCAAAGGACCATGACATGTCATTGTTTAACTGAAATGGGCTTCAATATATTTGAAAGACAGTATGATTTGTATCTAAACAGCAAGGTGGCACCAGATACGTGTAATGCTACTGGCCTGTGACTCAGTTTGGAGCCAGAGTCCAAAATTGTGCCCCTCATTTCCAGTCATGGTGACTCTTCAGCTTCAGAGAGAATTGTCCATTTTATGGTTATCCTCTGCGAGTCATATATAAAGCAAAACAAAACAAAAAAAAAAACCGGCAATGCAATCGCTAAATACCTTTTTACAAGAGGTGCAAAAACAGTCATTTCTAACAATTAAACTGTCATTTACAGTAGATTGGGAATTTTTTTTGTACACCTGCAGAGACTCAGAAATGATGGGGGAAAATGCCCCAGGCAAATAGTCTCCAAGTGAATATTTACACAAGGTGAAATTAACTGTACCATAAACACCCAGAGAAAATAAACATTATCTTATGTTGTTATGAAATCAAATAGACATGATATAGCTTCATCATACTTAAAACCTGTAGGACCCCATCCCAAGCCTAAGTAAAAAGTAATCCCCAAATCCCTCTGCCCATTCACCCACTATCTTCCTGTTACACAGAATAAATGTTTAGCTCACTCCCACCCACCCTCAAATAAAGTGCGCAGTCCATGGCAGACCATAGAATAATGCAACAGGAAAACCCCCTTTTTGTGTATTATTATTTTAAAAATAAAATACGAACAACAAAAATAAAACAAGGATTGGAGAGAATTCAGCAATTCTCTGTATCTTGCAGGAAAAGGAAAAAGCATGAGTACGCCCTGCTCGACTGTCACTTTGTGTTAGTACACATAGCCTTCGTTGTAGGCATGGGGGTTGCAGCAGCCCCCTTCTGGCATGTAGGCCATGCTCTCATCAAAGTGAGACAGAGGCACTGTGTCCTCTTCGTTGATGTGACGTTCCATGTCTGTCTTCAGCAGCGGGCGCTGATTATCTGGAAAGGCCATGGAGAAAAGGGCTTCTGGATCACACACAAATTTGTAGACGTATCTCTCTCCAGCCACCTGATGATAACATGGAAGAGAAAAAAACCCATCCTCACCATCCCCAGATGGGGAAGGATAGGAAAGGAGAAAAGAAAAATTATGGCTTAATAGACCAGAAAGGATAGATAACAACACCCAAGAAAGCAAACAAGTAATGGCAGATATGCAGATAAAAAAAGAAAAAGAAAAGAAAAAAAAAAGTCCTCACTTTGTGGAATAAACCACAGTTCAATCAAGGGAAATGCAAAATGTTGACCCTGAGTAATAATTAATTCACTGGAGATAGCTAGAAAGCTCAGCAGCTTGTTTGAATACAAAGATAAACTTACATTGTTATTTTGAAAAGAAAAATCAATGGTTTAAAGCAGGTGCTTCATACTGAAATTTTTTTAAGGTAACATTTACATTTGTAAAACCCTGTATCTTTAAGGGTAGTGTTTCCTTAATATTACATTTCTGAAATGTCAGAAAAACTAAACTTTCAAACCTTTAAAGAAAGATGTTCTTTATTCCTAATAAGACTAGACTAGTGATTCACTGATTCACAGGGTAAACTGGTTCTTTTACTTTTTTGTGGCACTGTGTATTCTCACCTAAGGGGGAAAAAAAGATACATAGCCTTATTTAAATGAAATATGGATCAAGAGGACGGCGTCCTGGGCACATCACTTATAAAAATGAAGGCAAGATGCATTAGACAGAAGTTAAGGATGTATGCAAAGTGTCAAATTGAAGTAAGAGGTGTAAAAAAGTGAAAGGAATTTAGAACACAAAATGCATAGGGAGGAAATGAGAAAAAGAATTGTGACAACTGCTAGAAATAAAGGAGAAGCAGCATAATTTATAGGGAATGGAATACCACAAACTAAAATTCTGAAGAGTAATGCTCCCCTAGAAAATTATAAAGAGTTGAGTGAGACAAATATGCCTCCGGTTAATAGACAATACTGAAATACTCCCAACCCAGGGCTGTGGATAGACGAACTCAGCTCTTTGTATTCACTGTGATAGTAGCTTGATAGTAACTCTGTATGTGTGTGTAGAGTTCGGGGATTTTAGAAAGTTGAAAAACACTCAATACCTCCATGTTCCTGTGTATCTAAAAGGTGCTTGCCAGTTGACTTGTGATGTGGGGGAAGAGTGTGTTCATGGTTTCTAAAGTACCTTGAAGGACCTGGAAGAAAGGACCTACTGCTAAAGAGCACTGCTACTCTGCACTCAAATTCTGAACATTTTTTTTGGCTCTAAATTTAAGAGGAACCACTTTAGAGAATTCAAAATAATCTGAATACTCCCAGGTTTGAAAGAGTCAATACTTCACAGTTTTTGTGAAGTTGGATGAGTTTCTCAAACTGCCTCTTAATTCACTTTTTTTGGTATGAAACAGACAAGAGTGGTCCTTGGAAAGCCTATTGTGAGGTAGAGATGGAAGTTTCTAGCACAAGGCAAGTCAAACAGAGGAGTCTGGCATAAACTTTGTTACTTTAGTCCTTTGTACAATGGAAATAAAGTCCTTAAAGGTGAAATGATGACATAATAATACAAATTAAAATAGGCAATATCAGAGACAAAACTCAGATAATACAACCTAGTTTGCCTTTATCTTTTCCCAAAGTATTTTGAAAAATAAAATAAATGTCTTGGGCACCTGTGAGCACTTTATAACCTGCTGGGTGAGGCTGTGGAGGAAAAGATGTTTGTTTTAGGTACTGGACTTTTAAAAAAAATTTTTTGCCTGACTTGTTGCTATTGGCTATAATTAAAAATGATGTGATAAATGAATTTAAATGTAAAACACGGAATCAAGATTGCAAAATCTCTTAAGGATTCTGCCCATGCTCACGGTTTCCTTCTATTTTTCTTTTGAATAATCAATCATCTTTAGGACTCCTGCTACATTAAATAGACAATGTTAAAAGCTGCTGAGTTTAAAACAAGGGCTGATAACCAACCAAGGGAAACGATGTGTTCCATTAATAGTAATACAATTACAGTGTGAAAAAGGTTGCACATTAAGTATATCCAAATTAAAACATTAGATAGAAAAAAACCTGGAAATTTGCAGGGGAGAAGAATCAGAAGTAAACAAAGCTTTTGAGATATGCTTTCAATGACTGTATATTTAAATTATGTTTTATGTCTTAAAATTTTAGAAAATTTTGGAGACTAAATTATAATTTATAGAATAAGCAAAAAATGGTCTAAAATTATATCCTCCAGAAAGTAACCACTGTTAAAATATTGGTACATGTTTTTCTAGATATTTCTAAACTTTGAAATAGAAGTACACACGTGCATTGCCTCTAAGGTATAACATGCATTCCTCACCATTTTTCATTTCTTTCATATGCCCTAAAGTCAATGACCAGTTTTAAAATATTTTTTTCATGTTTAGAACCCCTTGGTTATTTTTATTTTATTCTCCAATCTTTTAACTAATTAATATTTTTAAACACATCACCTATGCCCACACAAATTTTAAGTCAATGAACATAAACATTTTCCCTGACATGTTGAAATATATAATTCTACATCATAGTTTCTTTAATAAAAAGAATGCCACAGTTTTTCTCTGAATGACTATGTTAAAATTTACTCAGCCATGAGAATGATACACATGTGGGAGGGGAAAGGCATTCTACAAAGAATATGAGTAGCTGGATGTGGTGTTACAAGCCTGCAGTCCCAGCTACACAGGAGGATGAAGCATGATCTCTTGAGCTCGGGAGTTCAAGGCCAGCCTGGGCAACATAGTTAAGATCCTCTTCTCTAAATACGTAAAAGTGAAAAAGAATGTGAGTGAAGCACTGGAGGAGTCACAGGTATGTCATAGAACAGCAAGCAGAACGTGAAGATGAGTAAATATGGCCGCACAAATTGTAAGGTGTCCTGATTGTAGTGCTAGTGTCAAGTACCAGTGTCAAGTATCACCGACTATAACTTTTGTGTGTTTGACCATTAAACGACCTGCTCTTTCTTATATCATAGCGACACCTCAAAAGGTCCATCATACATAGCATTTTATTTTCCTACATTAGCTGACAAATGAGTTGTAAACAGTTTCCTCTGGCACCTACAGCCCAATAGGGAAATGTGAGAAGCAATGTGTTTATCTATAGTCCAGCATTTATGTCTTCATTAGATAGCATTTTGCCATATTAATTTATTAAAATAAGGGGATACATAAATGGAACATATGATAAAAGGATACATAAACAAATGTGGAGGTGGTGATACTAGTAATAAGTTCAAACACATTTGAGAATACATTAGAGAGGGCATGCCATTCTGTGGATACCCTGTCAACCACTATGTCTAAAAGCTGAAATGCAATGAGGGGTCCTTTAAATAATGTTTAGCTCTATGTGAATGTTCCCTTTAATAAGTATAACAGTCAAGACACACGAGACAACTATGCTTTGGCTTACTCTAACTTCGGGATGAGGGACACATTAAGAACTACCTTGAACTGAGACTGTTATTATGCCAGGTACAATGCAAAGGATATCAAGTATGTAATTTCATTTACTAATCACAGCAACATTGATGAGGTAAGAGTATCATCATTTAGTAGGCCACGAATCTGTTCAAGGAGGTGATCCAGTGAGAAGCTGGTATGCAAACCTGAGTCATGACTGCATTATCTTTAACTACTGGGCAACACTGCCCAGGGAAGCTGCTAAGCACCTTCTCTGACAGCCGGACTGATGGACCCCCTGTATAATTAGGAAGATGACTGTGAAAATGAAGGAGTGGGATGTATGTAAAAAAACGTGGCTACGAATGGATATGGTGAGTGAGAGAAATGGAGGAATTAAAAATGACAGTAGGGTTAAGATGGAACAACAGGAGGAACAAGTAAGGAATTAGTAATTTTGAAGATGAAATTCCAAAAACAGGAAGCAACTGAAAATCTAACTTAGTCTTATCTTTTAAGGATCTCAGAAATTCTAACTTCTAAGCTGGCAAATTCTAGAGGACTGATTCCCTCTGTTTTAGGAAACTCAACATTGCTAGTTGCCTCTGTGTTATTGTTTCACCTAGTAACTCGTCCAGTTTTTCTCCATATAACTATGATGACATAAAAATATGCCATAATCTATAACATGTGGCTATGTTCACAAGCCTAAAATAAACAAAGGATACATAATACAACTATAATGTTCCCAATGGATAAGTCATAAATTTGGTTCACAGTCAAGGTAATTAGATTTGAATATACAAGCTAAGCTGAAGGGTGAGACAACAACGAATATCAAAATATTTTATATTTATTCATTACTTTCTTTAAAAATTGCATATTTTATTATAAATGAAATTCACTTTTAATCTCTACTCTTTTTTACAAAGTTACTTTCAATTATTATGGGAAGTTAATTTGAAATAAAATATATTGAACTTCATTTTACTAACCAAATAAGATCAAATATTCATTTTTAGTAAATGATTTGGGAGGTTAAACTGTCAGATGATAAAACCAGGCAATATTTCAGGCTAGAAAAAAAGGGCTTTTTTTTTTTTTTTTTTTTTTTTACAAATGAGAAAAAGAAATGCATACATATTTTAAGAATCAGAACAAGAAAAAAAAAAGAAGTTGGTCTAAGATCTGTTATTTTCATGGACTTTATAAACAAAATCATTTCAAATTTATATAATTATAGAAACTGTAGCAGAATAACAACTTCTGGAGACATAAAGATACAATATTAATATTGAAACAGGTTTTCTTTTCCCCTTTTACCATGTATAGCAAAGTAAGAACTTCCAGAAAGCATATTATTCTATATATAATATTATCACACATTTGTCTACAATGTCCATGAATCTATAAATAGAACTTCTAATACCAAAGCTTCTAATACCAAAACTGAGAGCTAAGCATTTGTTAAAATGAGTGAAAACCTTGCTTCAGCAATGCATGATATGAGGCTCTTAAAGGATGACGTGCTGATTAATGTGCAACATTTCAATGAATTTTAATGCTGTATTAGCTGCTCACCTTTTGCATAATTCCCTTCTCATAGTAATAGCGGAGTGAACGGCTAAGTTTATCATAGTTCATAGCTGGCCTGTTTTTCTGAATGCCCCAACGCCGGGCCACCTGCCACCGAAACAGAATTATATTGTTGTGTTAAACATTTACTTCTCAGAATATTTCATAAAAATTAGTTAAGTAATTAATTACTTCCCAACCCACCAAAATGTGTCCAAATCAAAGAAATAAGTAAAGTAGCCAAAGCTATGGTAATCTGAATTTCCTGTGTCCTGGTTTGCTTTTGAAACCGGGCGTGCAGTGATCATTCTGAAACATTACAATAGAATTCTTTGTCACTACTGTTTTGAATACAAAATTAAATGGAAATAAGGGAATGTGTTTACAACAGGAACAAACAGGCTGCAATTCACCAAAATGAGGCAAGTTTTCCACTCTGAGATATGCTGTCTGTTTTTCCTTCTTAGTTTTTCAGACAAAAAGTATAGATTAAAAGCAGCTTAGTAATCACATTGTAAAGGTGTTTTATTTTATAACAACCACAAAGAAAGAAAAAGGATACCCTACTCACTACTATATCAAAGCAGACAAGTGGCAATGTGTGTAGCAGAGGCAACAGAACACAAATGAATAAACTAAACTGCAAATAATTTTTATTGCCTGAAGCAGCATTAGTATAAAATTGTAGTCGATACTAAACTGGAGAATTAAGCATTCATTTAGAGAAAGAGTAATTGGATGCTAAAATTAGAAGTGGAAAAGGTCACCATGTATGTGTGCCCACAAACAAAAATTTCCAAAGCAGAATGTCTACTTTGTTGTTTAGTGAAAAAAAATGCAGTTGTTAATTGTGTGGCTTTGAAGAAGCAATGTATCTAAGTCAGAGTTCTTCAGCAGAGCTCTAAAAAAGCCTCCTTCCTCGATGTATACACATCCCTACCTCATTACCACCCCAGGCTCAACAGAACATTCTACAGACTGGAGTAGCCTGCTTTTGCTACTCCAGTTAATGTCACTCTCTCATTAATTTCCACTTTCTATGAGTCTGAGCAGAAACTGCAGCTACCACGCAAACTTAGGCAACCCTGGGAGAGCATTATCTAATAGGGTTAGTGTGTTCCTTCATTTCTATGAAACGCCAAGTTGTTGCTATGTCACATACTAAAATAGAATGCTTTTCCAAGAGCTCATTCTGTCTCTCTTCACTTTATTAGCAATAACCTTTCTCCAGGGTTGTTTTTTTCTTTTAAAAATATCAATCCTAGCTATTTTCTCTCTCACTAATTTGTACTCTCTGAATGAAGATACAATGTGCTTTAGTCACATGCATCAGTATGCTTTTTTAAGAGTAAAGAGATGTGGTGTAACACAAACAAGATTATATATCCAAGCAGGCAATCCTAGTGGCAGGTACATCTTAATTTTCCAAAGATAACTTAATTTTACTGTAAATGCTCTGAGCAACAGTGAAATGGGGGATGAGGGTGGCATAAGAAATGAAAGCATTTTCTAAAGTAAGTCTCTCAAAAAATCTAACAATGGTCATTAGTGAATCTTTAATAAACATAGCAGCTGAACAGCATGCAAACCTGGAGGGGATGTGAAAATAAATTATTAATATCTCCCTAAATGAAGTAGCAGTTTCTGAATATTTATTCATTTATAAATGATTCTTTTCTAGAAACTCACCAGGATGCACCTAGAAAATAAAATACAACAAACTTTAAGATGATGCTGTGGATGTCTCTGGGGAGAGAAATATGATTTTTTAAATGTCACAAATGTTGTTTTAACGCTTATGATGCCAGTTAATTATCAGGGCTATTTGCAGATATTTTAAAACAAGCAAACGTATTCTGAAAGTTGTTTTAGTGTCATATTCTTCATAACGTTGAGGGTAACGAAAGATAGCAATTTACCTATGAGAAGCAGACACAGTCAAAGCTTAAAGATGACAGATAACATAGTTTCCAGGTCAGTGAGACCATCCGCCAACTAAGAACGTCCCTTCGGTCTTCACATATGAACCACCCATTGCCATTATATCTAGCACCTCTCAGAGTCAAGGCATAATTTAACATGGAAAAGGGGAGAGATGGTGGGAATACTTCCAGTGACTTCCTCATAATACTTTTTTTTTTTTTTTTTTTTGAGTTGTAGTCTCACTCTGTCGCCCAGACTGGAGTGCAGTGGCCGCTCCCGGCCACCGCAGCCTCGACCTGCTGGGCTCCAGCGATCCTTCCACCTCAGCCTTCCAAGTAGCCAGAACTACAGGCATGCGCTACCACACCCGGCTGATTTTTTGATTTATTGTAGAGATGAGGTCTCGCTGCCCAGGCGGGTCTCGAACCCTCGGGCTCAGGCAATCCACTCACTTCAGCCTCCCAAAGGCGCGGGATTACAGGCTGAGCCACCGAGCCCGGCTTATAATACTTTTTCAAGTGAAAATTTAGGTTGTAAGTGAGGAGGTAAAAAGATGCCGGCACTATGACGTTCACTCTCACGGTCAAATAAATTAAAGAAGATAATGTTAGAGTTCAAGCATTATTCAACTTATCAACTTATTTTATTTCATTTTATTTTGGAGTCAAGGTCTCACTCTGTCACCCAGGCTGGAGCGCACTGGCACCATCATGGCTCACTGCCGCCTCAACCTCCGAGGCTCAGGTGATCCTTCTGCCTCAGCCTCCCAAGTAGCTGGGACTACAGGCATGAGTCACCACTCCCAGCTAATTTATTTTATTTTATTTTTTTGTAGAGTGGAAGTTTCCATGTTGCCTAGGCTAGTCTCTAATTACTGGGCTCACACAATCCTCCTACCTCAGCAGCCTCCCTAAGTGTTGGTCTTTCAACTTATTTTTAAAAATCGTGCTTGAATATGTAATCTAGACTCAGAAACTACAATCAGGGCCTGACTGTCAGACTTCCTGGTCACTCTGCCAGCTCAACAAGTTTGAATATCATCAAAAGATTTTGTTCTTTGGATGATTTACTATGTTAATAATTGTTTTCTGGAACAATTCCCTGGGATTCTTGGTTAATTATAAAGTAATATCTCATTATCTAAAAAAGAGAGATGTGAAGGATTATGTGTTTGCTAAAGTCATCCAAACACAATGAGCAGATAATCAGTACAGGTCTGAAATCTCACTCAATATTGTTTTAAATGGCAAGACAGAATATAAAGAAATAGAACTCATGAGTAAGTCCAACAAGATGGCTTCAGAGGCATCTTTCATGAGTTGTGATGACACCCGGGGACCTGCAAGACAGAAGTGTAACCACCCAGTCTAAGGAAATTTCATAAACCCTTTTCAAATTTAAACAAGACACCATAGTCATTGCCTGATGGAAGTAATTGCAACAGTGCACAATGCAGCGATCAGAAATGGGATGTTTCTCTTTGAACAAAAGACTTAGGAGACATTCAGTGCTTATTGCACAATTCCCATTGAGTTAGTTATTATTTGGAAATGGTCTACTGATTCTGAATTATCCAGCCCTTTTTTACTTTATGAGTCTGTTACAGAAAAGTTGTCTGTCAGTTTGTTGTATGGAACAGATGTAATTGTATTTCTTCCTTTCATTAAAAAAAAAAAAATCACAGAGACTCAGAATTTGATGGAACTTAATGGTTGTCTGGTCAAATCTCTTATTCTACTTATTCAAACTTGATCATCATAACCGTCAACAGTTGCTATGTAAAGAACTTAATAGCTTGCAAAATAATTTTTACTCTTCTGAGCAGCTCAAGAATTACTGACCTAATTCAGGAATGTTTCTCTCTTAACAAATATATGGCAAAAGTAAAAACAGAAAAGGGTGACCAAATTCTGTTTCTGCTCAGTTTATTTTAATCACAGGTGGAGGGAAATAACTGTTTAACTGATACAAATCCTTGTCGAAAATGCTCAGTTCCAACATGAACCAAAACTTGCAGTGATTATTAACATCTTCCATGAGGTGAAGAGCACATATTCCCATCATGTTAAAGGGGTTTTAAGTTACTTTGTAGTGTTTCTAGTTGCAATTTGTTAGCATCACATTTTTATGTTTCTTTCACTTTCATAATTTAAGTATATCCATGGAAAGATTCATCTTATTTGACAGCCAAATTAGGCTTTAGACACATCACAAAATTCAAACACCTAAACATTATCCCAGATAATGGGCACTTTCAAATTCTGATATTGAGCCGTGTGTGTGTGTGTGTGTGTGTGTGTATTCACTGTGGACCACAGAAAATACTGCAAAACTAACCTTTTAGTGCTATAAGAGTAGTGATATCAACTGAAGAAGACTTAATTGTGCTAGCCATATTCCTTTATTTCATGTTTTTAATACATGCTTGAGCCAGACAATGTCTTAAAGCTAATAAATTATGTAACTTTATCTCTGGACACCAAATTAAGACATCTTATCTGACTACAATGGAACATATGATTTAAGAAAAACAGAAAATTTAAGATGGAAGGCCCAGTAGACTAAGTGTGTATAAAACTACTCCCTTCTGGATTAAAAAAATTTCAACCTAACTGAATTATTCACTATTACAGAAGAATTTAGATTCTATACATAATATAATCAGTTGCAGATATGTTTGCTATAAACCTGCCATTACTTTCTTGGGTGGTATAAACTAAATCCAATTTTAATAGAAGCAGAGAAAGCATATCACATTTTGAAATAATAGTCACTTTTCCATGAAGGTTCAAAGTGCTATTGAAGAATTATACTATAGGAATAATAGCAATCTTAAGCCTAAAGCTAGTCCTGGGAAGAATAAAAATTGAACTAAGAGATTCTTCAGGGAAATACTCTACCATTTGTAGATGGGAGCGTGGGATGAAGAGGGTGGGTGTACAGTTAGTTGAAAATGTATTTCATTTATCCGTAGAGTATCATCTCCAACCAGAATCACCTCATTTTGGCAATTTCTTATGTACTATGGCAACATTTTAAATTTTGCCCCAGACATCCAATGGGGTATATACTGGTCAGCTTACTTGAAGCCTATGCCACTAACAATGAAAAGGAAACAATGTTTCTGCCAGGCCTTAGTCTCCTAAGAGACAATTAAAGACTGAGAATTTTCCACTGTGGCCCTTGCATGCCTTCAGCTCCCACAGCTACCCCTCCCCTATCTTCTCTTGAATATTACTTTGGTCCCTAAATGCTCCACTCCAACCCTCTTGACAAAATTCAGATTGTCCAAATAATGACTGCTAATTTGAAAGACTAATTCCTTCATCCTCCAAATTATCTGAACTTTAGCAGACATCCTTCCTCTCCTCTAAGGACCATAAAACCTCCTGCCTCCTTCCCCAATTTAGATGCTCCTTTAGAAACTTCTCAAGGTGGTCATTCTTGAATAAAGGTTTATGCTAATGATGATCTGGGTGATTTTTTTCAACATCAATTCTATAGGATGGTATTCAGTTGGGAGGGCCATGTAATATGTTAGTGATTTTAAATGTAAACATGTTTTTTCTTTGCATATTTCTAATTCAGAAAGTTTCCCTAAAGTTTCAATTTTTTAAAAAAAAGTCAATTGACTGGATAAAGAAAATGTGGTATGTATACACTATGGAATACTGTGCAACCCAGAAAAAGAATGAAATCATGTCTTTGGCAGCAACATGGATGGAGCTGGACTGACTCAGAAACAGAAAACCAAGCACTGCATGTTATTATTCACATATAGGAGTTAAATAGTCACAAAGATGGAAATAATAGACACTGAGGACACCAATAAGGGGAGAGGTGGGGAGGAGGATTAAGAATCAGCAATTACCTATGGGGTACAATGTTCACTATTTAAAGAATGGGTCATCTGAGACCCAATCTCACCACTACACAATACGTCCATGTAATGAACATGGCATGTGTACCCCCTGAATCTAAAAGAAAAATAAAAGTTTAGAATATTATATATCCTGAAGTAGGAGGTGCTTATATAAGTGTATTCAATATAAAGTTATTAAACTGTATAAGTTGATTTGTTTACTTTACTGTATGCCAGTTAGACCTAAATTTTTAAAAAGACAATAGAATTCTCAGCTCTTGACATAATGATACACCCCTGAATCTAAAATCAAAATGAAAAAAAAAAAAAAAAAAGAATTTAGTAGTACTGTTAGTTACAGGAAAAAAAAAAATCAATTTTAACACATTGCTCAAAGATATCAGTTTATTTTATAACATATCTGAATTTCCTAATTAAAGTCTACTAAACTAACCTCTTCAGGCTCAATCAGTTTAAATTCCATTCCTCGACCAGTCCAGGCAATGAAATGAGAATTTGAAGGATCATCAAGAAGAGCCACCAAAAACTGCCAGAGCTGAAGCGATCCCCGCCGCTGATATGTTGGTCCTTCCCGATACATCCCGGGCTCTTGTTTGATGTCCCCTAAAGCAAAAAAAAAAATTAAAGTCTCTATCATTAGCAATATTATGCTATTCATATGAAATTTACATTAAGCCAATCACTAGACCAAAACCACTTTACAGTTTTCTATGACATGTAATGTTACAATAAAATAGGGATTTAAAATTAGTTAAATGGACAAACAATTCTGTATATTAAAATAAAATACATCCTGTGTCAATATAAATGACACACCGATATCACTCACCAAAGGTTTGTATAATTATCTTTTTCAACTTATTTCTTTTAAAACCATAATAACTAGTCACACTTCTTTGTTTTATTGCTAATGCCACTATTCACTGCTCAAAGCAACACTGCAGAGGGGTCATCAGTTTTTAGCTCTGGACTTTTATTTGTACAAATTAAATTCTGCAAACAACCATTTGCAAAAAATACCTTATGGACCTGCACATGACAAACTATTGAAAATTTCAATGCAAATATTTCAAAGCAAATTTAATAGTATCTTAAGCTACAAGTTAAGTCATCTGCACATCAAATAAATTAGGAAAACCCTGTGGGTAATTCAGGGCTTACAGGATGACCCTTGTACCATCTTTCCTCCATACCATTATCTACAACAAATAAAAATTATGTGCAATTTTTCTTTATCTCTTATTTGCATTTTACTTACTTGAATTTCACTTGCCATTCTTTTCCTAAAAGTCCAATTTTACAGTGCATACAGCAGAACTTTCTGAAATGTATATTCTTTTTTTTTTTTGAGTTGGAGTCTAAACTCAGTCGCCCAGACTGGAGTGCAGTGGCCACTCCCAGCCACCGCAGCCTTGCCTACTGGGCTCCAGCGATCCTTCCGCCTCAGCCTTCCAAGTAGCCAGAATTACAGGCACGTGCTACCACGCCTGGCTGATTTTTTGATTTATTGTAGAGATGAGGTCTTGCTGCCCAGGTGGGTCTCGAACCCGCAGGCTCAGGCAATTTACTCACCTCAGTCTCCCAAAGGCGCAAGATTACAGGCTGAGCCACCGAGCCCGGCTGAAATGTATATTCTTAAACATAAAAGGTTTGTTTGTGTTACATGTATTTGCTTTTTATACACAGTGTAAAATCTGTTAAATAAATTACAGCAATAAAGGTGAAAGCGTTGCAATGTTTCACATATAAATTTGGTCAGCTATTTTGATTTTACAAAAAGAAAAAAAAATACTCAGTTTTAGGACTACTGATAATTTACCTCTATCTCTAGTCGACTATGTCAAAAATATGTGGAATTAGTCATATTGGGGGGTTGAATATTTATAACCAAATATATCATTGTTAATGCATAAATTACTCTTTGTCACTAAAGGAACAATTCAGACAATATATTCAAGCCAATTTAGTCACACTAAGTGTGTGTTATAAAACAGACCAAACCACAAGTTTTCTAAAACTTTTATACCTCTTAATTACAAAAACAGCAACACTTTTAAAACCTAAATCAAAATATTTAATTTTTGAGTCAATAGCTGTCAAAAATCATTATGTTGTTTTGGTCTTACCCTGATAATATAGAAGTGTATTTTCATATTGATTTCAATGACAGTTTTATTTATCTCAGTTTTCCCTTCTAAGGTTTACAATTTTTATTGGCATAACCGAGCAATTATGCAGATAGAGTGAAACACTGTTAAATTTTATAGTCTCTATATTGCTTCTGCCTATAAATGTGACTGATCACACTGACCATGTAAAATGAAAAACCAAACCCTCATTTTTCTTGTTCTCTATTGCTTATAAAATACATGACAAATACTATCTTCCAAATTTTTTTTCAGTATAAAATTGAAGAGTATTTAAAAGTTGAAGGGAATAAACAATCAAGTTGGCTACTTCCCTAAATATCAGTGTGTCTTTGGCCTGTCAGATTATATTGTAATTCTGTCCATAATTTTGAGATATTTTTCTTTCTTACAAATCCTTGTTAATTTTCAAGATTTCTGAATATAGGAAGCTCACCAAAAATCTATGAAACTGATGTAGGTCATTCCAAAAAGTAAAGGCTTCATACTTAGTCTCAAGAGAAAAAGTTGTATTTTAAAAATTGTGATGCTCTGCTAATGGTGTTAAATAGTACAGTTGATACCCCTGACAAACAAACAAAGCTTCAAACTAACATGCATTGTAGAATAGGACCAAGAAAGTGATCCCTAAAGGGATTTTATCTCTGTAACCTTGAGAGAATTTAGAAACTTAAAGGGAGGACAAGGAAGCAGATCTTCCCAACACTCACCATTCCTTCTGAGAAGTCTAACAATAGTGAAAAGCTTAAGAACACAAGGTAGTCTTCAAGCGACTAATTAGAGATTGAAAAGCAATCTGCACATGTACTTTGCTGTTTAAATAATGACAATTAAAAACTTCTGAGAGCTCCCAAGTCATTATAGTCATGATCCCCAAAGTTTGTGCAATCAGCTAATCAGAGAGTCCCTGCTCGTTTCCTGTTAAACAATCAAAGCAGGAAACAAGAAGACCACTCTGAAGAACCACTACATCAATGAACTGTTCACTTTTTTATCCAAGCTTCCTCAAGACGCCAACTTTTGCCACCTTTGTCCAAAAAAAAAAAAAAATCTAACTTGATACCCTTTCCTAACATCTGGGATGTTTTCATTGCAACAATGAGTGATATTAAAAAGGAAATGCTTTCCTAACTCCCTTTAAAGCAATTACAAAGTAATGCTACATTAGTAATGGACAGCTCTCCAGAAAAAAAAAAAAGAGGAACTAACAACTATCACTAACTAAATGGGCAGTTATGTCGTTTCTGTGTTCCATAATGCATCTTTTCATGAACAATAAAAGGAAGGAGGCTGCATTAGTCATCAGTGCATCCACAGTGGCATGCTTTCTGCTCTGCTTTGTTAATTACAGGATCAGCTTTCAATAAATCTCAAATAACAAGCTGCATGTACTCAGCAGGGCAATGGAAAGCCTTCTCTTACTCTACACAAAGCTCAGCAACAACAATGCTCTTCGGCTGTATCTCCAAAAATGGACTCTTTCATAAGAAAAAAAAAAGTTTCTTAATGGGAGACAGAAAGACAGCATTTGTAACGGGTCAAATTTTGCTGGAATTGCGTGTGAAGTAAATGATGGGCATAGAAATCTTCAAGTAGAGCTGTCCACCGTTTTCAGAAGGCAAAGGTAATCACTCTCTCTTAGGAAGATCAAAATTTGAAGCAAAGCGAAAAACTTACCATCGAATTTTTCTGGGACAACACAGGTGTCATCATAAAACTGCCTGGGGCCTTTTTCAAACATACAGCCTGTGGGGGCAAATGGAATACAATTATTCATGATCTATTAGAAGCTCACAAACACTCTAAATTATAACCATTAGCACAAACATTGTGGTAGGAAATGATTCTGTTACTTTTCAGCTCTCTGACCATGGACACACTATTTAACCTCTGTGCCTCAGTTTACTTATCTATAAAATGGGAATGACAGTAAAACTACCTACCATCTTAAATGGTAATAGAGATTAAATCCCTTGCAGAGATAAAATGATTTAATACATGCTAGTTTAGAGTGGTGCTTATCATACCAGTGACATATAAAATTATTTATATTATGACTAACCCAAACCGGAACTTATATAAATATTGGCAAGGACTTATAATGTATCATCTCCTTTTTCGTTTTCATCGAAGTTTCATTATTTAATGAAAAGAGAGTGAATTACTATTATTTACCTTGCATTACTACCTTGATGCTCTGAAACAGATTTATTTTACGTCTTTCATCAATAAATATTATGATAAGTTAACCTTTTCATCTTCAATAAACAAGACAGGAAAAAAAGAAGTTTCTCCCTTTTTTGTTGTAACATAAATGAGCCCACAGAAAATAATTCAAAATAAATCAACGGCTTTTCACAATCATTTCTCTTCCAAATAGCCTTACCTATGGACCTTATTCTAACTGTTGTTATATATGTTGTTAGAGATATTAGATAACATCTCATGGTTTCCTTTAAACTCCTTCTAATATCAATTACACAAAACAACCAATAGTCAGTCATTGCATCTTTTTTTACTAAAAAGTGTTTAAAGCAAGAACTAAGCACATATTTCCAGAAATTCTTTTATGAAGGTTATATCCAGATGAAATCATTTTAATCTGTTACTTTGCAAATATCAAAGTCCCTTAGAGTGAAGCTTTCCACCATGTTTACCACAAACACATCCGTGATTAAAAGAAACAAAACAAACAAAAAAAATCCCTCCTTCTCTACTCTTATGTGAAATCTCAATCTTAATAATTACTTGTTCAAAAATATAAAATCTAGGATGTTCAAAGGTGAAAAACCTTTAAATCCACTATGTTTTACTTCCAAATTATGACTAAGGTCTGTAAAAGCAAAACCAAATATTCCTTGAATATAGATTTCAGTTGAGTGCGGTAAGGTGGGCTGATCTATAAAGCATATGCTCTAGTTGAAAAGAATGTGGTTGTTGGCAAAAAAAAAAAAAAAGAACACAGAAAGCCACTTTTCAGTCATTTCTATGCATATGACTCATGTTAACAACCAAATACAAGATATCATGACCGGAAAAGCCTTCCTTTTACTTTAAAGAGATAGTTTTAAAACAATGGGTTAGGAAACATTTGGGAAAAGATCTTCTCCAAAGTATATAATGCTTAATTAAGTGACTTCCTATTTTGAATGTTGGATTATCCCAAAAGGTATTTACAAGGAATTTCAATGATAAAAACTTAACTTCTGTTCTGCTGGGATGAGCCAGGAAGCCTTCTTGCCTCATATAAATGGAGTGGCAGCTAGGCACTTCTGAAAGAGAAAACAGCATTGGTCAAAGAAGAGTCTGGAACTGAAACAGTGCTATTAATCAACGGACAGGGTGCAGACAGAAAAGTTTCAGAAACTGACAGGAGTTCCCATGAGGAGAACATATCAACATGTAATTAGCATTTCAGGCAGGGCCCACACAAGAAATGAAGATGAGAGTGTATCAGGGTGAATGCCGAATCACTTGAATGAGCATGCGAATGCAGTGTTGCCAAATAAACCTCATGAAATGTCAGCTCCAACGGCAACCCTGCATGAATGTGACAGTGTCCTTGAAACAGCAACACAAGTTAAAAATATGCGTCAGGATATTTTACAGAATAAATGTGTATATTCCATAGTATTTTATATATATAGCAAAAGCATTTAATAGCGATTGCATTTAAAATGTTAACATTTGGAGGCCAGGCACGATGACGCAAGCCTGTAATCCCAGCACCTTGGGAGATCAAGGTGAGAGGACTGCTTGAGCTCAAGGGATCGAGACCAGCCTGGGCAACTTGGTAAGACCTCGTCTTCACAGTAAAACAAAAAAATAAGTAGGGCGTGGTAACATGTGCCTGTAGTTCTAGTTACTTGGAAGGCTAAGATGGAAGGATCGCCTGAGCCTAGCATGTCAAGGCTGCGGTGGCCATGAGCAAAGCACTACACTCCAGCCTGGGTGACAGAGTGAGACTCCAACTCAGAAAATAAAAAAATAAGATAAAATGTTAACATTTGGTATATGTAAAAGCTTACAAGTTGAAAAAAGTGTAAAGCTTATTATTAAACATTTTATTATACCATGTCTTCTTTACATAAAGTATTCTGTAGTTTATAATTCTGGATCTGTAAGAGGCAGTGGTAGCCTTGCTTCCTCATATCAGCATTTATAATAGGGGTGCAATGTAGTCGATCTTTGGGGTTACCAAATAGTTAGCAATTCATTTTAGCCCAACTTTTTAACCACTGGTACTTCAAATTAATTTTTAATGTTGTTTTGATTTATTTTCAGGCATATGGTCCTTCAAAACAGCTGCGCCTGGAAAGGACAGTGTTAATAACTCTGCCATCAGCTAAGCAGCTGCTTGGAGGCAAGTATTTTGTTATGCCAATGTTGACACCCTGCCACAAAACACTTTTATTGACTGCTGCACACCTGGATTGCGGCTGTAAAAACAGCTGGCTGGCTCTGGAGGAGGTTAGAGAAAAACATATAGGCTAAATTCTATTACATATAAGTGTGACTAAATGCAGACCTTACTTCCCAGAGGGGAAGAAAATGAGGAAGAAAGGAAATACAAATATATCTGAGAAAGCCACTGTTCGAAGTAGAATGAACTCCTTATTAAAGTATTATGACAAATTACAAAATTAGCATAATCCTGGAAAACTAGACATTTGACATCAAATATAAGATTTGATGAAAATTTCACTAATGCATGCTGATTGAAATGGATGATTTCTTGTTATGATGAACTTTGTGATATTCTTCACAAATTCTATTAATCTATGATATATTTTTAAATATATTGGCTTAAAATTCATAATAAATTAATGACTTATATGGTAAGGTTAATGCCAGAATCTCTTATTAGATTTCTAAAGGCCCAACTTGCAATGTAAATTCTTTAAGAAAGAAAAAAAAAAAGACAATAAATGGCAATTTAGAAAAAGAAATACACAGGAATATAATTATTTTTGCCAATAATTGTTTTCCTGATCCTATTTGTTATATTAAATTTTAGAGTAAATAAAATTTACACCTAGCTGTTAAAATTGAGACATTTGGTTAGCAATGTTTAAATCCATTCTAGTCTTAAAATTGGTGTCCTTTATATGATCCAGAGATGACTGGATATGCCTAAGAGGAGTTTATTCCCATAAAGTAACTAAAGTCATGTTATACTAAAGTGATATCAGTTAATTTATGACTATCAGAGTGGGTCAGACTCTAATCAAATTGTAGAAACATTTCCAAAGTGATTATTCAATCAAATGACTAACATGGTTAATTAGGAGCCATAAACATTGCTCTGAAGTTCATCAAAGTAATGACTTGCCCAGAAAAAATTACTGCTAATTAAATTGCCTGCTGCTTTCATTTCTACCTTATCTAATAAAAAATCCAACCAATAAAGTTTGGCATTACATTTTAACTTTTGCTAAATGCCCAAAGAAGATCCAAACTAGCTCGGCCTCGGCGGCGACTTCAAAGGCAAATGTTTTGTGGCAGGGAATGAAGACATTGCATATACATTTACTTCTGTTTTTTTCATGAGTAAAATGAGTACAACATTCAACAACAATAACAAGCAGTAGTTGAACTTTTGCAAAAATGTTAAAATGACAGTATATTTACACTGTCATCCTATTATACACCCATGGGTTGCAATTTTAGGATAAGTAGGTCAGCACAATAGTTATAAACATGAGCCTTTTCATCTGTTAGCCCTGAGTTTGAATTTCTGTTCTGACATTTCATGGGAGTATGGCATTTTGTTAGTTATCTGACATCTCTGGTTCTCAACTTCCTCATTTGTAAAATGGGAATAATAATGACATCTGCCAGGCTTGGTGGCTCAGGCTGTAATCTCAGCATTTGGGGAGGCCGAGGCGAGTGGATTGCCTGAACCTGCAGGTTCGAAACCAGCCCGGGCAACTTGGGAGACCTCGTTTCTACAGTAAATCAAAAATTAGCCAGGCGTGGTAAGGCGTGCCTGCAGTTTCGGCTACTTGGAAGGCTGAGGTGGAAGGATCGCTGGGGCCCAGCCGGTCGACACTGGGGTGGCTGTGAGTGTGCCACTGCACTCCAATCTGGGTGATGGAGTGCAACTCCAACTCAAAAAATATTAATCATATCCTTAAAAGGGTTGTTAGGACCATATGGAGTAAGACACACGCAACATTTTGCACAGTGTCTGAACACAGTAAGAACTCAATATATGGCACTTATTATGAATAATGGAATCTATTTTTAAGTGATCTTCACAAGTAGTTAAGCTGAGTGAACTACAGTACATAAAACTAGATATCATTGTGTATCTAAATAAATTACATTTTAATCTTTATTTGCTATTCTTAAATCACATGAGATGGCTGATTTGTTACTTATTCATGTATTTATTCTGAAACATTTTTCAGAAATCTATCTGCTAATCTATGATATTTAACATACACTGATTTAAAATTCATTATAAATTTATAATTTAGATGATTTAAGCCAGAATCACCAGTAGATTTTTTTTTTTTTTGAGTTGGAGTCTCACTCTGTCGCCCAGACTGGAGTGCAGTGGCTGCTTCCGACCACCGCAGCCTCGACCTGCTGGGCTCCAGCGATCCTTCCGCCTCAGCCTTCCAAGTAGCTGGAATTACAGGCATGCGCTACCACGCCCGGCTGATTTTTTGATTTATTGCAGAGATGAGGTCTCGCTGCCTAGGCAGGTCTCGAACCCGTGGGCTCAGGCAATCCACTCACCTCAGCCTCCCAAAGGCGCAGGATTACAGGCTGAGACACCGAGCCTGGCTTCCAGTAGATTTTTTAACTACTTAGGGGTAACTTTTTTGAGCTTCTTTTTCCAATATTATCCCCTGATGTTAGGTCCTAGGTAATTCTGGCTTTAAAAGTTTTAAATTCAATCTAAAAATTGAATTATGTAAGTTTAATTTAGGACAAATAATTTTTATTTATTTCAAAACTTGTGGATCAAAGAACTCTATAACATGATGTTTGCACTGGCTAAATCAGCTCACAGAAATTAGACTGCCTATAATTTGTTACAGATGAGTTCATAGTGATGAAAGCTGATCTAATATACTGCAAAAATTCAAAGCAGCAAAGCACTGTTGTCATGTTAATGCATTGGCCAATGCAGTGGAAGTTAAGAAGAATAATAAACTAACACCCGTAGAACACGATTTGATTAGTCTTCACCTTTAGTAACATTACTAAAGTTCTCTTCAAATTAAGATATGCAGGCAAGGAACTTTTAAAAAAAATTTTAGAAAGGTTATCTTCTCTGTCTCTTGATTTGCATTTTCAAGCTGTGCTGGGAAACATAATACTGATTTGGGAAGCTTCACCAAGGGTTTGACCACAAAGTGCAGTTTTGAATTTGCACATTTAAATCTGCAGGGTGCTCTCTAATTTGCATATTTGCTGCTCATAGTATAGAATGGAGGTGTTCTTTGAGGGTATGGTTTGCCTAAACTTTCTAGGAGCTACACCAGGCCAGAGGAGAGAGAAAAGATTTGCCAGGATTGTCTGGGGTATCTCTACAGAGAATTGAAATTGCTTTGTTATCAAATAGTATGTAAGCTTGGAATTATTTCATATTATAAACTCTAAATGATTTAAATTCCTATAGCAATCATCAACATATAACTTAATTAAGCATTCAAATATCTCTTAGAATAAATGAGAGATTCCAATAAAATAGGAGTAAGTTTGATGTATTTTAATGTGGTTTTGTTTCACATAAGTGTACAGTACAACGATAGATTGACTATACACTTGACTACTTCCTTTGAAGGTGATGTGACAAGCACAAGCTTACGTGAAGTTGTGTGTTCTATAATGATGATTTCTAAAACTTTGCATATTAAATATCCAGAGCCAAAATGTGTATGTAAACATAGATCTGAAATTAGCATACTCAATAAAAAAATGTTTATGGTACTCAATGCACCCTTCAGAGCTTCAACTAGTTTTCTGAAAACATTAATCTGCTATCCAAAAAACATTGAGTTGTATTAAGAACTAATAACACCAATCTCTTTTAAGAAAGAGGAGTTTGTCAGAGTTTGCCAATGTTTTAGTAACTTAGTATTTCACTAATTTTTAAAAAAATAGTGTTTCTTCTCACTTCCTGTTAAGCTCACATTTATGTTTAAAGCCCAAAGGTTTTCTAAAGTACATAAATAACCTGAGCTTTACAAAGATGTATTTAAATGTAAATGCATCACATACATGCTACACTTTTAAGTTCCTTTTCCACTTGTCA